ACCGTAAAAGTAGATTTTAATTAATAACCAAGTATTTTGTCATATCTTCTCACATTTTTTATTAATTTTATCCATTTATATTAATGTGATAGACCTAAATCATATCAGCATCCTAAAACATTTCCTGTTGACTGCGTCAACGTATCATGCACGCAATAAATAAATGCGTGTCTGTATCGTACTGCTGAATAAGTTGAGGTTAGGGTGGATTCAGTTTCGTGGCGCATACTATACCAATGGCGTAACTTGTACGTATCAGCGAGAATTTGTATAGGCAAGTACAGTCGCAAGGGTTCCTGGGGATGATTGGAGAAAGAGAAAATATATTGAAAATCCAACTTTTTTCAAACTCTGACAATCCCCCAATGTAACTGTGAAACAATAAGAGACAGTGCATGGCGTACTGTCTGGGATTTGTATTCATAAAAATACTGCCTACGCCAATGTGCTGTAGCACGCCATGCGGCCACCGTGAATCCTCTACCCCTGTGCAGCCGTAGCTTCCCTCAGTACATAACACTCGTCACCTCCAATCTCAAAGGAACTTATAGCCATTTCTTTTAAGGGTTGGTAATACGATGATCATTAGGATGGATGAAAAATCGTCGAGTATTTTGTCTTTGGGGATGACAGTTATATTTAGTTCTTTTATTTTCTTCAGGTTTTCAACGACAATGGCCATCTTGCGTCTCATAGACGTCGCGTCTGCTTGTCGGAATCTATGGACAAGGAAAGTCTCTATGAATTATAAAGAACCACAGTAAAGCCATATAATCTAGAGATGCTCGGAGTCTCGCATCGTCGAATAGACGCGACTTCTATCGATCCGATAAGAACGCAGAAGAGAAATATCACGTGAAACGCTTCGAAAGACCTTCGCGTTGCGGTTTTGCTACGTTTACGAAAACTGAAAAATCCTTACTTTCTAAGTGACGTCTGTATTAAATTTACAAGACGTCACGTACCAATGACATTCATACCAGTACTGTTATACACACAGTACCCAGCATTCAATGCGTAAAATGATAGCAGCATCATTATCACAGTATGTATGTCAAAACGAAGCAGCATCCACTGTAAAATTTTTTATTACAAAAAAATATTTAAAGATTTTAAAAAAATTTCTCAGTTACAATAGTTTTTACCGAATTCATATTTTTCAAATATCTATTGTCATTTGAATATTTCTGCAATTTTTTTCCACGAAGAAAATTCGTCCAAGTAGCACGTCGTATGGAACGAAATGAAAATGGAGCTTCCGGCACGCTACGTTGGACCGAGTTATATCTTCTCCATGTTGTCTGTCTTCTTCTTACCACAGTAGAAGCATCTCCGAACAGATGTATACAAAATATATATATACCCTGACGTCTTCTGTGACAGCTTGACGCCAGAAACGGATCTTCCAATTAAAGTAAAAACATGCCCCCTACTCCTCGGCGCGTGTCATGCCACTAACCATCCTTTCTTCGGCACCCCTAAAATTTCGTTAAGTGCCTGACTCCTCCCGTATCCAGATGACTTCACCAGTGCTGACGCATCCGATGCACCCAACGTCAATTAATGAGTCTTCAACACGAGATTACCACCAGGAAACGTGTCATTTGCAGAAGGTTCATTTCCACCCTATAAAGTCTCTTTGTGTAAAAGTCCCCACTGACTAAGTATAGATCTTTTCTATTATACTGTAGAACATATTGCAAGCTCATGCAGCTTTTCTAACGTTACTATAACTCTATAGCTATGTTAAGGCTGTATTACACGTATCTTTTTATGAAAACTTTTCTATCGGTACATACAAGTACCCGAGTCTTTCTCTACCCATTTATCCCTTCCTGTATATCTATATATTTCCTCTTCAACGTCCCTATCTCTTTGCCACTTTTAGCTTGACAAACATCTGCATCTATATTCTTTCCCCATGTCCAAAAATAGCAGCTATTATACCCAGACCCTGAATACCATCCAACGATTGTATACCTAAATCCATCCATCGCGTCAGGAATCCGCAAACCTCGAAGAACCTGGTTGGACATTCTTTTTTTTTTACAAAAATTTCACACTGCATTCATCATCCATGGATTTTTCGAATACGATAATTCGAATATTATACCATGATCTTCCTGGTACTGTAAACTGGTCTGAAATTAAAAAATACAAATTGAGACTTCTCCGTTATTTCCCGAGGGACAATTTACAGGATGTCCCCTTGAAATTCTATCTGTAATATAAATATATATATACCCATAACGGAAATACCGTTAGGTGGACGCGATCGGTGTTCATATGAGGGACACGACTCCATTTGAATAGCATTATTCTTCCGGTGAAGTTTGCAACTCTCTCGTTCACTATGACATTCTAATTGTGACTACGTAGAGATAATATCATTCATAACCTATCCTTATCAGTATACGAGGTAGTGAACGGACCGCAATGGCCAATCGTACCGAAAGAATGAATGATAAGCCGGAAACGAGACAAGCTGTGATATGAAAAAAAAATAAAAAGATGAGAAAGTAACATCCGGTACGATATTGATCATGATCTTTTTAAATGATATATAAACTTTTCTTTTTAGTAAATACAAAAATACGTAAACTCTGAACTATATTTTGTGATTAGAAATCCGTAGTATTCGATAGTGGTTAACGATACTTGTTCAACTATGTTGAAATTTCATCGAACTCTGTAGTTTGGTTTTGACTGGTTTCTAATAGCATAATATTGTATCTGGTTGGATGGTCGTTGTAGTTTATATAGCTGAGTGATATTAATAAACTATATAATAAGTGTAGAATTATGGTCCAATCACGTTCCTATATTCGAGTGTACTAGAGCGGGTCAAGGCAATGTAATTTCTAAGTTCTCTATGTTATATGAATACGTCACGTGGCTGGGCGGTCGGGGCTTGATGCAGAAAACGGGCGTTCGTATCCTCAATCAACATTCCATTCGACTACGACTCTTAGGAACGTCCTTCTTGCGTGATCGTCGCTGTGGATATTACGGCGATACGTAAAACGCTCCATGGTGAAGGTGACTGGGATATTTTGTTAGAGAAGACCTGCAAGTACGGTCGCGTTAAGCTTCGGCTGTTTATTTGAAAAATTTATTGCCATCAACTTCTTTGACGTTTTTTCGATTTAGTGTGAAATTTGAATGTTTTTTTTTCGTTATCAAATATCGAGTAACTTTGGTAGGTTGTAATGGCATACGTCACATTGTGAAATATACTTTCCCAAACCAACAGCAAGCATTACGCAGTCACTACCTATACCCAAGTTAATAAAAAATTAACTTGATAGACTGATAAAGATTCAACGACGAAACGAAACGTTTAGGAATTTTGTAATTGTTGGGAAATAGATTCCATTGGGGTGCAGAGATTGAATATGAAGAAAGACACCTTCTAGGCAAGTAAACAGTGGAGGTTTTAGGTACTGAATTAAATAATTTAATTAAACTTTGAATCTACACGAGAATGATGTCTACCCTTGGCGTAATCCGATTTTATTGAATGGAATTTATTGAAGGTAAAGATACTGGAAATTCTTAACGTTTACTACGGCGGTATTCAAAGATGGGTTTGAACTGTATTATCAAATAATGTTAGGTTAAAAAAGACTGGATACTCTCTAGTTTACAAACGGCTCTAGAAAGCGTATGAAATTGCAGGAAGCATGGGCAGCCCACAAAATTGCTGCGGGAATCACGGCCACGGGAGTCTCATAGGTTTGCACGTAGAGAATACATATAATCTTTGTATAATTAACGTATCGTATTGTAGGCACGACGACAGCGATATCGATAAGTCTTACTTATATAACGCGTTTAACAATATCCAAGATATAAAATAAATAACTCAGAAAAGATATATTCGAGAAGTTTGCCTCTTGAATTCCAAAGTGAAGGGATCATCCTTGTCTGCAGAAAACAGCCGGTAATCTGTCACGAAAAATATTTGAAAAGAAATTCATCCTAAATAAGCGCATTAGGGACAACAGAAAGTTTGAAAAATATACAAAGTAACGCGTCAATAAGCAGCATGACAGTCGAGCGATATGTTCTGTATGTGTAATCAATAAAAATGATTACAAGAATCATCCATCATATGTGTAGCTTCGTTCGAATCGAAGATTCTTCGGTCTACGTCGCAAATTCGGAAATGAACCACAAATCTCTTTAGTAAATTTTCCGACGTTGAGTGCAGCTGCACTCATGGTTGTATGACCTTTCCCACCCAACACCCAGCGGGTTTCTACCAACTTGACGCCCACACTGCCTACCAAACATCGTCAAAACGAACATGAGGACCATCGCCTGGACCACCCACGCATTTACAGTATACAAACATAAATTCAATACTCCGTTCAGAGTAAAGTTTTGAGAGAAGTGTACGCATGCATGTACCAGCTTCTGCCGTTTTACATTCCGTCGTTATCTCGTTGGCACAACAGACATACACTGGCTGCTTTTGTCAGTAGCGTAACATTAAGTGGCGTTATCATGCGAATATAAGATGTAAGTACAATCCAATCCAAAGTACGAGGAAGAAGAAAGCGCAATATAAGAAGCGTACGCGTCTATGAACTTTTACTTCGTTTCTTTGATTCAGCAACGACCTTCAATTTTATGATCGAAAATGAGTAGTCTTCAGTAAAATTCTTTTGCATTTATGTCAGATCGTACTTCCTTTGCTTGGAATTTCTGTAACGCTTGACGGAGAAGGGAAAGTCATGGTGAACAAAATGTTAGTATATAGTAAAATGCTGTGTTTTTAAAGTCATCCCGTAAAGTAAAGCAGTAATGCTTACGGGAAGTATGAAAATCTATTTTCATTACGTATGAATAAAGCTTTTAACAGGATAGGAAGAAGAGTGGCTTTTTGAAAGAAATGAAAGCCATCCTGGTCTCAGAACTGTTGGCTACGCTCCTGTATCTGAATTTTACGCTCAGTCAGTTGGCAGCCGTGATACGAGGCAGTAGTGAGTGCGCTGTGCGGCGACCAGTCAAGGCTCGAGGGTTGCCTTTCGCGTTGGCAGGAAAGATCCTCGCTGAATTATCTGCATTTCGTGGCGTCTATCGTGAGCTCCAGGTCGTGGGCTTGGTAGAAAATTATACCCTTGACAGCGACTAGTGATCTTGTTAGTGAATCAATCTGGTGTAGCTGTGTTTTAAACAAAATCGCATGAAAACAAGAGGCGGTGACAGTCAGTCACAGCCATTGAAAAGTGTCTCGCCCGTGGCTTGTCGTGTGTGTTTATCCAATATCTCCGGGAAGTCTGTGTTTTAGACGTGATCGCCGGTTCCTGAGGAGTATGCTATCCTGATTGAGATCCAGATTCTTAGTACTGCAAGGTGAGAGATTCTGTCAACGGGAATATCCGGGGCTTAAGAAGGGACGCCAAAGGCAAAAAGAGGGCCGTGCAGGGTGGAATCCAATTGTCAACAGTCTGGCACACCCATCGTGGGGCGGCTGGCTGAGCTGTGAACAGTACGGAAAGATCACGAGAGGAGCGGAATGCCGTAGCCTAGATTCCATACGATATCCTCTCTCGACTTTCACATTGTACGCTTCTTTTGCTGCGGGATTTTCGATTTTGAACCGGCACACGGCTTGGTATAGCGGCCGATCGTATGTGTGCATCTTCTATGGCATTGTCTACCTTTGTTCTCTTATTCACAGCATTATGCTTGGACAAAGGTCGTTTTTACATAATTTCACTTCTTTTTTACCCATAGCTATCCGTTACACTTCTTTTTCTAGTCTCGTTACAATGAATTAATCACTCCGTGCAAAAGTGACTGTAATGGCTTCATTTTTTGAAGTTCCACACGCGGTGTACACATCTCTTACACTATAGATGTTTTATATTTTGCTTCCCATTAGGAGTGTATCTTGTGTATTTTCTTGTATGACTTAACTTTCACATTATAACCACTTGGTTCTTGCATGATTTTAATACACCTGTTTATGCTGACATGAAAACTAATTTGAACTAATACCTAAACAAACAATTGGTATTATACATCTGTTTACACATGTGAGATTAATACTTGGATACTAACCCAAGCAATACATGCTTTGAACATCGTTTGTTGTACATACAATATTTATAGGAAAAATTATATACAATTGGACTGTAACGTTGTATATTATGTTTTTTGCAACACCTATATTATTCTACCATTATAATTATGTGTCACTTGGTAATTATAACACATGAGCTTGTATAATGTATCAAATAGACAAAAATATTCAGTGTAAGTCATGGTTATAAGGAATTTGTTACTTATAAGATTTGTATTCCGTTTGATGGTTCGAAATGGCATGTATTATCTATAAGAAAATTATAAATTACACTCATATATGTATCTAAAATAGCATGAGTGTGATTTTCTTAGACAATCAATCCATTAAGAGACACAAATGAGTTTTTTCTTTTACACTAATAACAACTCTTAATCTTGTATTAAAACTATAAAACGAACTGTCAACTTAAACATGACTCAGTAGACATTTGATATTATATTTTAGTCATTTGTATTAAATCAGTAGCCAACCTGATTCTTTTTGAATTTAAGCATGCCGTAACGACTATCAACTTGTCATTATAGGTAAAGTGCCAAGATGAGCTGCAGATGACTGTTAGCCAAGTCAGTGCTCGTCAGACTTTAACATGAGCGAAGTAGTTACTGTGACAATGCCCACTGGTGGACCGACCTGCCAGGAAACTGTGGCACATATCAAAAGGCATAAGTTAGCCAACTGCAATGTTCCTCTTGTCCATGGCAGGCCAAACCCTCCGAACAACGTTCGTAATAGGCTAACCACGCATCAACGAAATCATAGTCTGGACTTTAGGTACATATCACATGTTACTTTTATTTTTGCTTTTCATCCCAAGCAAGATAAATTTGCACTCAGGGCGGTATATACGTTGCTATCTTGTTGCTAGCTGTAATATGGTTTTCACATATTCATAATGAGAGATGGATATCGAGATAGTTAAATAATAAATGTACCCTCATAAGTTATGAACTATTAAATTCCCAATATAAAGAGTAAAAAGGTTACAACGTAATTTTACAGATCAATGGGAATTCTTTTGCCACCGGTTCCTCAAGTAACCGCCACGACATTAACGTTGCATCATAGAAATCGGAGTCTGGACTCTGCACTACAACGAATTCCGGAAGTGGATGTAACACCGAGTCCAGAATGCGAAACGGGTCCTGCCCCAACTACTAAAACGGTACCTTCGATAAAGTGTCGTAGTCGAGAAAGGGAGGATCTCGCCAGTCTAGGCTCTGACGACTCTGGCATCCTTTGCGGTTCTGATAGCGGTTCCAGTGATACGGCCAACGTCACAACCAGGGAATCCAGTGTAGATCATTTGCATAGTCGCGAGAGCTTGGATTCCTCGTTATCGCAAGCTGGTGATATGGATAGTGTGGACGTGGTAGACGGAGATGAAAGTGTCATGTCAGTTTCTCCCATAGAACTAATACCGAGTGATTCTTTACCGAAAGACTATGAAAACGTTGATGACCGAGTCCCCACCGAACATGAGACTAGTGATCATTCGCCCAAAGAGTTGCCTAATGGCGATTACTTGCCCAAAGAACTGCAAAATCGTGAGTGCTCATCCAAAGAACCGCGGAACAACCAGACTAACACGGGGTCATATCATCAAAATTCCCTCGAAGTGGCTGTGCAGAGGGAAGTGGCGGGTGCTGCTATGACATTGTGTTGTGGCACCGGGCAACCGGATGCAGAGACTGTGAAAAAACAACCGGAAATACGTAGGCAAGAGACAGCTCAGCCTAAACCCTCCGAAGGATGTTTGCTCAGGTTATTCGAAAGCCAGATCTTCGACATGTCTATGGCGATATCATATCTTTTCAATTCCAAAGAACCAGGAGTTCAGAGTTATCTGGGTAAGTTTTGTTCAGGAACTTGAGGCGCCTTTAATGCATACTTAATGCACTTCACTCTCTTGTTGATTTAAGTACGGCCATACTAACTTTTTGTTATTTTTTATTATTAAGCTCCTGCCAATCTTTTAAAAAGTCAATGCATAATATAAATTGAAATTGCATTGATCTTAATAAATGCATTTTTGATTTTCCGTTACCTATTTCTGTATAATGACTCACTTTCAGGTAATAAGATGTTCAGTTTCCCGGATAATGAGGTGGATTTCTATTTGCCGCAACTGGTTTTAATGTATATACAACTGCATGACGTTACAGAGGTTCTTTATCCGTATCTTGTCCATAGGTAAAGTTGCTCTTTTTTTTCATCTTTATTATGACGCCTATGACGTTCGCGTATTTTCACTTTAGCTAAATGCATTCTCTCATTGGTAAACAGGTGCAGGCAGTCAGCAGATTTCTCTTTAAAATGTGCTTGGCTACTGGATGCGTATAGTTCTGATGCTCATTTGCCATCGAAAAAGAAGTCTCACGGGACCAAATTAAAAAATTTAATTCTCTCAGACGAACTCAGGTAAGTTGTAACCCACGGTATGAATAAGAATTTTAGAAAATCACTGTATCTAATTGTCAAAATATAATCTTACAGTGTAATAATTCTTCGACATTAAATTAGATATTTATTTTATTTTTTTTTTATAAAGTCTAAAGAGAAAATTGTGAAATCTTGAACTATAAATATTTCTTTGTTATTTTGTATATTATGGAAAGTAACGCTCACGAGAAATTGGCCGATTGTCATAATTCCCACAGTTGGAACTCTCGGCCTGATTTTATTTACCACTGTTTTCATGCCCATACTCACTGACAGATCTCAGTTGTCTAATAGCCTTTTTATTTCGTGTTCTAATTTTTGCTTCATTTTGGGAAGCAGTACAACTACAATATTTCATGGGAATATAGAGAAATCTAGCAGACCCATACAGTTCCGCGGATACAAGAATAACATAATTTTCAGGCCAAAGGCAAATGAAGCCATGCGAAAGCAACGGGTCACTGGTTTACATGTACCTACACCGCCTCCATTGCCATCTACCCAAATCGCAACATCTCCCAATAAGAAAACTCATCAGAGATCTCAATCTGATGCCACTGGTCTCTTCCAAACGTTGCGCCGTAGCCATTCCGGTGGGTCTTTTCATTATTATGTTTTTTTTCTTTTTTTTTCCATTAAACTTGTCCAACTCATAATTATATCCTTAAGTAAGACGTGAATCGTCTCCGAGGATATATCTTAATTGACTACTTGTCCTTTTTCAGGATTAATCAGTAAAGTAAGTCTTGGGGACTTGAGTTCCGGTCGAGCTTTTGACAACGGATGTACCTGTTTCGATTCCTGCCAAGGTGTGGTTAATGACTTACGAGGACAGAAAACTGACTGCTTCTGTAATGTAAGAAATGATAATTATTTGAGGAACGAGATTTCATATAGTCGTGTAACATTGTACAGGGTCTTATATTTCCTTTCTTTTGATTCGCTAGGCACCACGGTTGGTCCCAGAGCTTGAATTTATTCAGGCGCTGATTACCATCGGCAAATTACTCGGAACCATTCCCACAAAGGAAAGCAAAACTGTTCAGCTGGTAGCCGAGCTGAACACCCTCAATCTGAATCTTCCCGCAAGGGTGTGGCTTCCTCTGCATAGTGCAGTGCCGCATCACATAGTCAGAGTCCCGCCCCAGTATGCTGCGGTTCTCAATAGTAAAGACAAGGTAGACATACAGCGCCAGGATTACCAAATTTTTAAAGATTTTGTCAATGAAAAAAATTTGTAAGGAATCTGAGTACCAATTGCGCAATGTTACTTAACAATTTATAATTCGTATTTAGGCTCCCTACATAATCTACGTCGAAGTACTGGAAGTCGAGGACTTGTATACTTCACCAGTGCCGACGAAGATCATGGGAAGTTCACTGAGACACACCAAATCCGAGGAGAACCTCACAGGTGGTGAACAGTCCAATACATCTGAAACTTGTAGCATATCAAATGCGGATAGCCAAGAGACTGCAGTGACACCAGGACTCAGACAGACGCCAATAAAAACTACGTATGTCTTCCCACCGAGAAGTGCGGACGTTGCATTTAATTTTCCCGATGATGATTCTAATGACTGTTGGAGTCAAGAGGACGACGATATTTCGCAACAGGTAAGATTTTCTTTTGTATTAGCACACGATCGTTAAATTGACATTTCGTTGAAAAGTAGTTTGGTCTGTCTAGAGTTCAGTTTAAAGTTTATAAAAATTATTGAATGACATAATTTCTCCTTGCAGTATTTACAACTACGTAAACCAAGAGATAGGGACACGATATCGCAGCTGAGTCAGGATTCGTCTGATAGTCGCGAGCCGATTTTTGTTCCTGGCGACATAAAAAGGCGGCTTAGCGAAATGGCTGCTACTCCAAGTGCGACGTTCAATCACGACCCAGAAGATCCATCTGCTGCCGTTCTAAAGGAACCCTGGGAATTGAAGCAGCGACGTATAAGAACCTCCAGTCCCTATGGTCATTTAGCATCTTGGCGACTTCTTGCTGTTATCGTTAAGTGCGGCGATGATCTCAGGCAGGAACTTCTTGCCTCGCAGCTTCTTTCTATGCTGCAAAGGATCTGGCAAGATGAACAAGTACCCTTATGGGTGCAGCCTTACAAGTGCGTGTCTTATACTAATGGATTAAATGACTAGTGGAGCACGTGATGTATTTATTATAATTATTAATTAAATACAATCATCCCTTGTTTCAGGATTCTCTGTCTCTCCAATGACAGTGGATTGATCGAACCCATTCTCAACACGGTATCTCTTCATCAGGTGAAGAAACATTGTCAGCTCACGCTCCTGCAGTACTTTGAAAGAGAATTCGGACCGTCAACGTCGGAAGCCTTTGCTACGGCTCGTAAAAATTTCGTTCAGAGCTGCGCTGCGTATTGCCTCGTCAGTTATCTGATTCAAGTGAAAGATCGTCACAATGGGAACATCCTTTTACATAGCGACGGACATCTTATTCACATTGATTTTGGCTTCATTCTCTCTACCTCGCCACGAAATTTGGGATTCGAAACATCACCCTTCAAGTTGACACCTGAATTCGTCGAAGTGATGGGTGGCAGCCAATCTAAAATGTTCCAGGAGTTCAAGAGTCTCATCCTGCAGGGACTCGTTGCAGCACGCAAACACATGGAGAAGATAGTCAACCTTGTTGAGATTATGTTGTCAGGTCAGTCGTCTTATATTTATACCGATTATCTGCTTTATCTTTATCTGACCTGTCCTCTGATCTATTAATTTGAAATTTTCATCTTGCTACAGGGTCCCAGCTTCCTTGTTTTCGGAGCGGCGGTGCGGCTACTGTTCAGGGTCTTAAAAATCGATTTCATTTGACTCTGACCGAGGATCAGTTACGTCGTCACGTCGAAGATCTTGTCGAGGGTAGCATCCACTCGTGGTCCACGAAGCTTTACGACCGATATCAATACTTTGCCAATGGCACGCTCTAATTCCGATATCAAACTTTCTATCTACGGCGAGCATTGTCGTCGTTCTGACATCCTGTGGAACTAAGGAATTTATACGTGACACGAATCAGGCCCAATGACCTTTCTTTCAATTTCAGTAATGCGGGAATGTACCACGTATATTCCACAAATATGTGTTTACGCTTCGTAGCATTCCACGAGCACAAATCGTTTCCGAAAAATGTTGGTAACGTTGAGCGCTGTCAAAGTGTCAAAGCAAGATCAGTGGACACACGTTAACAACAAGGTTATTCAATGAACTTCGATTTACGTCCCTCAATGATACTTTTTTTGGGTCTATTAGTCTAGATACGCGAGTGCAGCTTTCGTGGATGCCCAAGTCTTTCATTAATAAATATAAAGTTGAGAGCCGTGCGAAGGTTATCTATCAAAAGTCAATTTATTAATTACTAGCCGGGAAACTCCAAGAAATTAATTTTTACGCATTGTCGTTGCCAGGCTACTTCAGTTTATCGTAAGAGAGAAGGGAATCATTTTTTTCCTGTTGAGCAACATCATATTCGGCTACCCGTATGATTGATACGTGTGGAACGGTGACACCTAAAATAACAATTACAAGTTGGCTATCATCGGTGCAGACTCTAATGACATTTATTCAATGTTGAACTGCTGGATCCGTTATAGCTAATTAATGGAGTAATTTGTTGATGAAGGTGCCTTATAGCAAACGACGTTCGGTGGTATGGTTGAGGTTACGAGAAAAAAGAAAGAAGATCGCAGTGAAGTGAGTGCAAAAGTGTTACGTACCAAAAAAAAAAGAAGGAAATAGCAAAAAAAAACTGAACGATACAAGGGAGCAGGACAATCTGATAATTTGTAAATACATAAAGTGAATTCCCGTTGGGACGTAGATAGTTTTTGGCAATAAATAACTGTACCATAAAACAAGAGGAATGAAACAATTGAGTCCATTTCTAATGGGATCTATAAAAGAAAGAAAAGAGGAGCAAGTTTTGGTTGACTGTGAAGAAGGAGCGAAATTATGAACTCAATTGGTAACACTAACGGGAGACGAATACTCAAAACTATTTCCTACTATGTATAATTATTAACTATTGATCATAACAAGTCTTAAGCTAATAGTGAAACACTTCTCAAGAGGAATACTATTGAAAGTTTTTACATGTTCTTACTCATTCATTTTTTCGTATAGTTATATATTTAAAAAAAAGAAATAGCAACAACCGCCAGGGCATCGTAGCCACAGCGTAGTGCGATTATTTAATAGTATCTCTACGGTAATTATCTTTATTTCAGCGATTCTATTATCGTAAAACAAAAGCATTTTGTGTATATATTGCGAAAAAACATTTGGAAACTTATTGTTTAGGAGTCGATTATACGAATGTGTAAAGTGAAATCAAAGTCATGGCGAGTTGGCCCAGAATACGAGAGGCCTGGGCCCTCTGACTTCCAAGTGTCTTATCTCTCTCCTACCATAACCGTCTCACGATAGACAGGCAGGCCAGCCAGAAATATATATATATATATATATATATATACATATATATATTGCATAGTATAATAACAATGTACAGATCTCGTCTTTTGAAAATTATTTAAACAATTTCAGTCAATTCTTTGATTTTGGATGCCACTAGTAATGGCAAATTCATTTTCATAATTCATTCGCATTGCATGAAAATTATGTAAAATTTCATATTAATTCACCAATTGCATGTAAACAAAAAAAAATCAACATATTACCTGAACTATTGGACCGTCTTGTATAGTATAAAGGAGCGGCGAGGGGGAAGGGGGAAG